GTTATAGGCAATGCTTGTCCACATACATTTAAATATGTTTGGTGCTTTGTTAAAGGAACAATTCAGCCACAAGTGAAATTTTATCAGATGCATTCTTACTGTTACAGAGTTTTATGGTAGTGCTGCTAATGTTAGATGGCTACTGGTACACAATTGTCATTACTAATTTAGTTAGTTATAACTCAAGTGTGTATAAAATTAGCTAACCTCACAAATGTATTTTGTGACCAAGAGGCTGCTTCTGCACAAACCGTGCTTAACATCCTAAACATAACACTTAATATTTCTATCCCACTGCAGCTTCACTTAGAGTTTATGGCCAAGTTATGTAAAAACAACATTTACTGCTAATGTTGCACAATTTTTGGCTGTCATTTACCAAGAAAATATCAGGCTCTCTGCCTGCTAGAAACTCAACTTTGTTCACTGGTTTTTTGTTCAAACTATCTTTGTGCACCATTTGGTGCGTTGTGTACTATTTCGGTGATATGTGTGTTTTTAATTCCAGAAGCAAGGTTTATGAGAATGGTGTAAGTTAAACAACCATGAGGCTACAGACCATAAAATCTGAGTGCTGAAATATTTGGTAGATCACATAATTCTTTGTAGAGTTGTCTTACCTATGATCATGGCCATGGCGCTGCTGTTGCACTGGCCCAGCGCAGACAAGATCTGGCTCATTATCTGCTGATTGGCAAGCACCAGATCAGCCACACCTGCAGGAGGGCCCTGATTGGATGCTGATCCACCAGCTACACTTTCTTTGCTGCCACAGACCTTCTCTTCATCAGACACACTGCTATCAGCTGCTCCACTGCCTGATGGTGGCAGCCGCCCGCTGAACTCTCTGTCTCCAGACAAAGGTAGTTGCACCAGCACATTCACCAGCTTGAGAAGATCAAACATTAGCTGGTCACGTGTGGTTTCTCCACAGACTGCCTTCGCGTCTCCTGGCCGGATTATGTTGGCAAACAGACCCCCAAAACAAGCTCTGGCTCCCACTGAGCTGTCTGAGCCACTGCGAGAAACCACTTTATCCGAGCAGGTAATGTAGTGGTGAACCAAGAACGTGATGGACTCAATAACTGAGGTGATAGTGGCCACTGACACCACCTCAAAATTTTGCTCTAGAGTAAACTCAAGCAGCTTCACCTGGGCGTCCAATGGACCCTGGCCTGACTGGAATGGACCCCTGAGAGTTTCAGAACCATTAATTAGAACCACTCATACCATTAAACATTATACTCACTGTCAAAATTATTGATTATACCTAATGTACACTAACAACTAAAAAAGTGAAAATGTACCTCTCAGTAGACAGGATGTGCATGAGTTTGAGCAGGAACTCGCTGAACATCTGTGGACATGTGGAGGACAGGTGAACCTGCAGGCGGCTCAGGAACTCGTGCATGGCCTGTGTGGCAGTTGGTCCCACCTGAGAGCTGTGTTGGCTTGTCCCATTGGTGCTGCTGCCAGACAGGAAGCGCACCAAGACATGGATCAAGTTGGGATCAGACACCATCTGCTGAGCTGTGCTTTCCTGAGAGCTCATCCCGTTGTTGGAGACTAGAATTTCAGAAGTTCAGAAGTTATTTTTTTAAACAAAATAATAACAATAATAATAATGAAAGCAGGTTATGGTAAGCTAGACGACTTGGGGACGACTTTTTTAGGTTTACGAAGACATTTCATGTCTTATTCAAATGATGGAGAGTCACAGGTATTTAATCCCTAGTGAGCTGTTCCCTTTGACATAGTCCTGAGGGTCACTGACCCACTTTTGATCATGTGAGTCAACACATGAGCCAAGATGTTAAAAAAAAAAAAACGACAAGGGATAGCAAGACTCCACTGCAGGTGGCTGATAGCAGTTGTTGTAAGCCACCTACAATGCAATGGTTCAACAAGGATCATGTTAACATGTATGTAACCTACTGCGCAAGTGGGGGGGGCATGGCTACGTGCAGGCATGAATGGGGGAGTAGAAGTTTGGAGGGTTGGCTTTTCGGTGGTGGTGCAAAGGAAGGTGACCATTTAAGTTGGAGTTTGACCATTTAAGTTGGAGTTTGAATGTCAACTGTGAGATTATTGGACTAACAGTCATTCACAATGGACGGCCCCAAAGGTTGTGGGACTATTAAGCCACCAGGAATGGCTCGGCAGGAGGTGGACTGACTAAGCCAGCCACTTCCACACCATTCAGCTCCACATACTGTCTATAGCAGGACACAGTGACACAGGTAGACAGTTGCTTGAGCGAACCGTGTCATTAAAATCCGGGAATATGGGTAGGCAGCTTTTGACCATTGTTGGCTCTGGGGGAAAACGCCTGTGAATCATTCCACTTTCTGAGGTGGATGCAGAAAACAGGAAACATGTTGTCATGGCTGGTACAGCTCGTCCTCTAACATACCATGCATAGTCAGGCCGATGCCCAGCATGTCATCCTGCTGAGTGGTTAACTCAGACTGAGGTTGGCCAGTGCTCTTGCACAGTTCGTCTCTCACTTGGGAAACTCATCAACATACATCATGTGGTCATCTATTTGCTGGGGCATCGACCGGCATCAATTGCTTAATCTGATATCATCTGACTCAGATGAAGCATGTTCCCTAAATTTGGAGAGGAGAGGGTCAATCCATGTTATAGCCATCTTTCCAGCAGTTTATCCACAAACGTCACCCATCTTTTCAGAACCAAATGTGGGACATGGTGGCAAAAGTCACAAACTATGGGCTCAGCCAATCCACCCTAGTGTGGACAATCCCCAGGCAAACAGGGCACACCTTATCATGCAAAGTGAAACCACACACCTGAGGATAGGGGTGAACACAACATTTTTGCTTTGCTTGCTTGGATTTGATACTCATATCAAAACGCAAAGCAAGAAACAATGCTCAGGAAACCTTCAACATTAGTGCTGCTGAAGGAGCCCACATTCCAACCGGGCAGTGATGGCTAACAACAACGAAGGCTACCTTATAGTTGGTAGACAACAGAGCTAACTAACAGTAGCTAGCTAGCCCGACTCAGCAGAGGTGTTGTTACCGTGATGAAGAGTGTACAAACTGAGGAATGACTGTGATAGGACTATAGATGTCCAAGAGGGTCGCACATATGTCATTACAGGTCACCTGCCTTGAAGGTGTCAACAGAGTTGTCTTAAGCCAGGACATGTGTGGGGTTGATATGTGCTGAACGAGTGAAATGACTGAAAAGAAACGCGGGTGCACTATAAAAAGGTGGATTAGTTTGGATTTTTTATTTTTTTTTCATAAACATGAAAACAGAAACATACAAGAATGCTTAAACGGGGGCGACCGTGGTTCAGGTGGTTGGGAAGCTCATCTGTAACCGGAAGGTCGCCGGTTCGATCCACCAGCTCTCTCTGTCCTGGTTGTTGTGTCCTTGGGCAAGACACTTTACCCTACCGCCTACTGGTGTTGGCCAGAGGGGCCGATGGTGCGATATGGCTACAACTGTGGTCTGCCGTCACTAGTGTGTGAATGTGAGAGTGAATGAACAGTGGAATTGCACAACGCTTTGGGTGCCTAGAAAAGCGCTTTATAAATGCAATCCATTATTAAACAACTTTCTCAATGCAGAGTCATTTGAAAATAATGTGAAAAGAAAATCCACTGGTAAACAAACCAGTGAAGAGCCGAGTACTGACCGCAAGCTGGCATATTAGTCATCAGAGTGAGAGAGTGCAGAACCAGACACCATGTTCTCAGGGAAGTGTTGGGGTACCACGCCAGCACGGTTAGGAAACTGCTGACGGATGCTGAACACAGACACAAACACAAAAAAGAACAATATAAAGCAATGTAACCATATGTAAACTCCATACAGCTCCAAATTAGAGAGCAGGAGTAGACAAGCCCTAACCTTGGTTGAGCGGGATGGTGGGCACTCGGCTGGCATTGAACAGAAAGATGTCAGACCCGCTCTCCTCGCTGCCCCCAGAACAAGTGTTCAGACTGAGCGTTAGCCAGAGCTGCAGCAGGGATTCCAGCTGAGAGTGGAGAAAATAACATTTAGTGTCTGTGGGTGTTCCCTTACTCATCTTTATCGAAGTCATACATACAAAATTCTGCAGTGGTCACCACTTGTATTTAAAAATAAGCCCTTTCAGAAGAGTCTTGTATATTCTGCACACCACGTTTTTTGCTCAAGCTAATGTGAGAACATACAAATATAATTCCCCAACTTTCAAAGAGATTTAAAAAAAATTGGCACAATATTTTGCTCTAAAGCCAAATTGAAACTCCAGCAACAACAATGTGCCAAACTAAATGTTCAGCTTCACACAAGACTTAATAAGAGAAGAGTTAATAAACACAGCACAGTACAGTGTGGTTGTTCAAGGGCAGACATGTTTCAGAAGGGAAAAAAAGAGGTTTGTTTAATCTTTTTTTAAGTTACAAGTTAGATATTATACTTCAAATTTACTCTAAAAGAAGTTAAAGAGTTAAAGTAGAGCATTGGACTAAACAGCAGATAAGAGTAATTGATCTTGTGGGTCCAATGACTTTGTACTCCTGAGTACTAAGCATCTGAATCGAAGCATCTTAAACTGTGATTCCAGTTAGTGGCTGTTCTGACCTGTACATGGTGGACCAGCAACATGGAGAAGAGCTTGTTGAAGCAGGCACTCAGAATTGGGATGGATGAGGGCTGGACTATCAGGCTGCTGTTTGGGGGAGAGCCTCCACTATGGAGAGCTCTGAGCAGGGAGTCATCAGTCCCATTGGAAGACTGGCTCACTATAAGCACAACAGAAAATCAGTATCAGACCATCAGCACAAGTCCAACACTGGAACACTGGAAAGAATGTGTGCTTCACTTCACTTTTAAGCTGTTACTTCATTTACCTGTGGATGAACTGGAAGTGAGTGCTTGTAGAATGGAGTCCGCTTGTAGAGTTGCCATCATTTTGAGCATCAGCTCAGCCTGCTGCTCCAGGCCCACTTCTAGTCGGGCATCCAGTGCTGTGAAACAGAGGCAGAAGCTCAAAAAGTGGCATGGAAAGAATGCAGAAAATGTGTTCAGGTCCATATAAAAAAATTAAAATAAAATTAGGCCTCTCCTCACCCTGTGACACGGACACTGACAGACCCTGCGACCCTGGCTTTTCAGCAACAACTGGAGGTTTGGACACTGGGATACCAACCCCCCCAATGTATGGGTTGTACCCATATGTGCCATAGTCAGCACCCCAGTAGTCATACCACGTGCTGCTGATGGGCTAAAGATGAACATGAGAAAGGGGATGGTAAATGTAAGGACATCAACTGTCTGCAGACTGAATTCATTTCTACATTTGCTTTTGAATCTTTTTTAGTTTTCCACAGCAAACATAACCTTAATAATTACATCAAGTTCAAAGTAGTCAAATGAAAGCAGAAGAATTACTTTGAAAACGTCGTTTGCACTGAGTTCATTTTCTGTGATGCTTTAGATCACTTAGCTAACAAACATAGCTTGTTACTCTTTACAGGTTGTCTGATCTTACAGCAACATTA